CTGCCAAGAGACCTCTATCCCGAACAACCACCACAACTACTGTAGTACTAAGCTCTCATACTCCGCCACTGTATCTCAGTTATGAGTTACAACACCTCCCATCATTCAAGACCCCAATTAACCATAACAAACCACCTATATTATGACCTACAACACTCTTCTATTTTGGATCTGCTCCTTTATTATGTAAAGGAGTTATGCGAAAACCACTTAGAGGACTCAAGTCAGGGTTTGACCCTTGATCTCCAGGAAATCCAAACCCAATGTTTTGACTGCTAAGTTATCCCATCTTCTGAGCTGGTTCGCTAGCTTGTGCCAAGTCATCTTAGCCATATCTGATCTACATGCACTTTTCCAGAGCTGCCTTTTTAAAATATGAGCTATCCTTTAGCACATGGCCACCTGCTCCATATTATGAGGATTGCCTGCGTGCTTCCAGAGTCCTTTTCTTTTGGATTCTCTGATCACTGAGCTAGGCAAATAACCTCTCCTTGTCAGACAGTCAAACACCATTGGGTTTGACATCTATCTTTGGTCTCATTTAGGTGTTTTATGCCATACCAATGCTGCCACAAGAACATAACTCCCTGAAGAATTTTCTCACTACATTCACACCTCACTTTTATTGCCTGAGGACTTGCCACACCAAAGAAAGCCAAACTCTCAGAAACAAAAAACTGACACTTTTCTCTAGTGGATCAGGCCAGGGTCCCTTAGGTCTGGTATTGTGCTCTATGTTCACTCCAGCTTCCCCTTCAGTTTGGTGGCAAGGGGTTCCCTCTAGCATATCCACCTTCAGGATGCATTATACACTGTGTGATTTACAGGGACGTTAGCAGCATCCACAGGAGATACTTGTGGCTCCAAAGCTCATGTACTGTACTACACATGCTGAACACATCAGCTGACCCACTTCTGCAAAGACATGAAACAAGCCTTTTTAACTCTGTCATCTTCCTGATTATTGATTGTGGTGACCCATGAACTCATGCCACTTAGAAGTCCTTTCTGTGCTTTATTTAGAAGCTTACCTTATTTCTGAATAGATTGCTGTTTAGCAAGTTCAGCTTGTTTTTATGTATGTTTAAGTTTTATTCGAGTGAAATTATAAGATCACACCCCTTAACTGCATCTTTTATTTTACGCCCCTCCAGCCCCAAGAACCCTGCAGTTCTTTCCAGCCACACTCAGAAACCTGGGCTTTCAGGTGCTGTTATTTTTACTCAGGTGCTGTCACAACTACATCAATTGTGAAGACATGATGGACTCTAGACACAAACTCATTTCACTATGGTGTGCAAGCAATGGGATTACATTTGGTAAGGATAGTGCACCTGTAGGTGCAGACATTTTCTAGCCCAGCACACTGCGTGGATGCCAATTGCATGGGCAGCCCATGATAATTCCCTCCATTCTCTGCAGGGAAGGATCCAACGCCTATCGTGCTCTGCCAACTGATGGGTCCTTTGGAGGGACCAGTACTGATTTCAGAAAAATCTACACTACATGGAAATCCAGCATCTAAGGTAACCAGCAAGACCACCAAGGGGTCGATATCCAATTTGAATAGAGGGCCAGCAACTCCAGCACTATCAGATCAGTCACTTCTGCTGCAAGAAATAGAGCTACTTCACCACAACAAGACCACAGTACACATTTCCTTGCCACCTCTATTAGCTTCCCCACTCCTCAGTGACTTAAACCAGACTCAAAGCTTATTGGGGGTGACTGGGAACCTCTGAATTATTCACTGTCAATCTCTGTCTCACTTGGATATCGAACAAAACAAAACCACTCCAAACTGAACACTACAGACCTAGTGATACAGTAAAACAATTTTCTTATAAGCTACTTCTATAGGCTCAATGCCAATGAAGTACTAAAAGACATGCCCATCCCTTCTGAGTGAATCACCCATTTAGGATATTCTCCAGGCAGGCTAATTCTCTGTCTACACCAATGTAACTCTTTTCTAGCTGCATACATGCAAGTCATAGGTGCTGGAACTAGGTGTGATGGGAGTGCTGCTGCCCCCCCAGCTTGAAGTGGTTTCCATTATATACAGGGTTTACAGTTTGGTTCAGTGACTGTTGCACCCCCACTATACAAATCATTCCAGCACTCCTGTTGCAAGTCTTTGTTTAGGCAAATGTAAGAAGATGCTCCTCCTCCTCCCAACCCACATACAGTGCTTGTTCAAAACTACAGACATTTTCTTTACTTTCTTGCAGCAACACAACCAAGGCCTCACAGGAAATATCCTACTCTAAACCAAAAGTCCACAATTTCAAGCATGGTCCAATGGATAGAGAGTTGGACTGGAACTTGAGACCTAGGTTCTATTCCCGACTCTGCCACTGACCCACTGTATAACCCACAAGTCATCTGTCTGTGACTGTTCCCTCTCTCACTTTTGCTCCTGGAGCAGGGACAGTCTCTCACCTGTATTGGAGCAGAATCTAGCACAATGGGGCCTTGATCTTGGAAGGGTGTCACTGTCATACTAATAAGTCACTATCACTGCTACTATAGTCTCCTTTATGGAAATCGATAAATCCTGATCACACAAATGAAAATCACCTGTTTAAAGCTGGATTCCCTACTGTGCAGCTGATTTGAAGGTTGTGGGGGAAGAGAAGATCAAAAGTTGCTTTTCCACTTTTTATTTTCTAGACCCCACACATTTTAGGGTATACTTTTGTCTAAACTATTAACAGCGGCTTAAAAAATGCCAAACCACAAGGAAGGCCAGTCACTGCTCCCCTGGGCAGCCTGCCAGTGTAATCAGCACAATATCTTTTTCCATGCCTAACCCGAGGATGTTCTGCATGCCAGTGACTTAGAAGACATCCTAATAATAAATACTGAAAAACAAAAGGACAGTCCTCTAAAAGTTACTCTAACCAAATACGGAAAATCCATGTGGGGAAGCAGCAGAGAGGACCAGTTTGGGCTCCATGCCAGTTCTTCAGCACAACTCTGCTTCTATTAGCATTGTGGCCAATACTCGACAGTTTGGATACAACATCAAGGCAAGCAGCTCCCAGATACACAGTATTTGTTTATACGAAAGACTAAGGCTAGGCTACAAAAGCACTCACTTTAAAATACTATAGAATGAGGTTGGTTTGCTTAACCACAACCTGCTTTGTAGATTTCTGCAGCACAGCACCAGAAGGCCAGTGTGGATTGCACACAACTCTGGAACATTCCCTGCCAGATTTTACATTCCCAGGCATACAAGCGATCCTAAATGGGATCCAGTGACTGTATTTCTTCCACCTTCAGCATTTGCACACATCAGTACTGGAAGCTTTAGGTGTTTTGTGTTTTTTTAAACTTTATTAAAATTCAATATGGTCTAATACCCCACAATTCCCAAGCTCTGGCACTGCATTACAAGACACCTAACAGCCCTACTCCGATCATATTTCTTTCCTTGTTTTAGTTAACAACAAAAAGCATAGGATATCCTTCAGTTTCAAGAATGATGGAACAAACTGCTATTATGCCATTTGCAACCCATCAGATTCACATCTGCTATGAGATGGAGTTTTCAAACTGTAGCTGAAAAGCCTCATAAGCTCTCCTTTTCATTTATAGGTTTTGGTTCTTCATATGGCAAGTAAAAGCGTGCAGTGTTTAATTTTACCTAGTGTTAGCATTTCTGTAGTGCTCTGTACAAGGTCCTTGCTCCTGGGCATAGCATTTTCCCCTAAAAGCACACTATGCACTTTGTAAGATGAATCACTTTTGTGAAGGTTAAGTGTTAAAATACCAAATCATGTGTCTTCAACAGTCTGCCAAAATAAAGATCTAAAACCCGCTCACGTGGTACCCTATGCAGATGTTTAAGGGAAATTTAATACTCTGCTGCTCCTCTTAGTGCTATGCTGCTAAGGGGGGAAACTGCTCCACCTTAAGCAGAGAGGAAAGGTTGCAATCATCTATGCAGCACCAGAACACTGCAGTAATATGCCTCTCTTTTGGGGGTGCGGGGGAGGAGGGGTAGCAAGCCACTTGTAGAAGGGTTTTGTTTCTGCAGAGAAAGTCCACTTTGCTAAGTTCTATATTGCTCATTTTTAGGGCATCCTTGATTTTATTATTTTATTTTTTTAAAAGGTGCTAGTTATTTAAAATCACTGACCACCACTTGATCTTCTCCAGAGGATTGCCGCACACTTTTTAGACATGAGGTAACCCTTACAACACCTGATGGTAGGTATTATCCTTTTTACAGGTGGGCAAACTGAGGCCCAAAAAGGTGAACTGATTTATTCACAGCAGATCTAGGAACAAAACATAAGAATTCCCATTGTCTGTCCCACTGACTAGCACATATTCCTCTATGACCTAAAATCTAGAGAAAGGCCCTTTGTCACAGGAAGGCCTATTTTAAGTATGTGGATTAATTTTTAACCATTCCCTTCAATCAGTAACTTTAGGCTTCTCTCCAATCCACTTTATTTCTGATAAATGGGGCTTGAGCCAGGAAAGCGTGGGCAGGTACTGTAATATATTAGACTACAAGCACTTTAGGCAGGGACCACCTTTCTGTTCTTTGTACAATGTCTTGCACATGGGGTCCTACTCCACGACTGGGCTCCTAGGCACAGCCTCAATACAACTAATAATCTTGTCAAGTCACCATTTAGTCCAGTCTTATGCCGATACTGATCGGAGCACTGGGGGCAGTTGGAACTGGAGACCAAGCCACATGCATTTTTAAGGAATCACTTATTCCCAATTTGAAGCTCAGGTCACTGGAGGTGACAGAGTAGCACACTACTTACCCTCCGTACTACCTAACCCTCAAAGCCTATTATTCTCCTCTTTGTCTTACTTAAATCCAAATCCTCATGGCAGATCCCAATATTCTTGTAAATGGATTAGGGTACACAGCACAATACTATTATTAATACTATTGCCTCAAGTCTTAAAGCATCCCTCTTTGTGGTCACTAGTCAGGCTCTCTACCAGTTGTAAACCACATTACTCACTGCTTGCTGGATTTCAGTCTTCACTTGTTCGCTCAACATACCCTCAAATACAAAGGAGTCTCCAAATTTCTCCGCCTAGAAGGAAAAAAATATATATACCAAATTCAAGCAGATCGTAGGAGTCCACTGGAAGTGTTTTACCCCTAAAATGCCAGCATAAGAAAGCATCAAGTGGGACCATTAAGGAGATAATAGACTTAATTTAATTCTTTCTAATAGGAATTTGGAGTTTGCTTTAAAGCAAACAATATACTGAGCAGAAGAACAGTGGATGAAAGGCCAAATTACCCAGGGATATAATTGTTCTTTAACAGTCACTGATCTAAAGTGCAGACTGACTGAATTAGTGGAACAGATGACAGCTCTAAGAAGTCCTGCAACCATTTCTACATCTATTAATTGGAAAGCTTTTTAATTGTCCTGATTTGCTTTTAAAAAGCAATACTGGAATGTACATAATATTAATAGTAAGGAATCTATTCCATTAACCTTCCTTTCCTTTGGAAGTCATACGAAAATAATTAAGTGGCATGGTTTACTCCTTTTCAATGCTTACTGACTCCACATACTTAGGTGTTGGCACAAAACCCATAGAAGACTATTAATTTAACCCATTTATCTTAACATTCTATAAAGTCACCTCATTTTCAGAAGGAAAAACAACAGTGATTAGCCATTTTGCTAACTCACAATACATGAGGTCCACTAGCACAGCAAAAAGTATTTTAGTACCTGGTTTGGTTTATGAGGAGAGCCAAAACAGGTTATTGGTAGCCAACAACTGTCTTTCTACTTCATTGCTTGAGTTTATCAAAACAGGCCACCCAGCTATGCCCACTGTAGTCAAGGTTGCAAACCATTGTAACCTTGTTTCCACATTCTAATAACTTTCTGAAAGAGTCAATTTTGGGACTAAAGATTCCTGTACGTTCACCACTCAAAATCCAGATTGTGCAGAGTTTGGACAAAATCCCTTCAGCCATTTGATTTAGCAACAAGGAAGGAAGAAAAAAAAAAAAATCTCTTTTCCTCCATCCCTTTCGCATCTGAAGAATTTCCAGCTGCTTTTTCCAGGGACAGTGCTCAAACTAGAGTGCCTGAAGTTTGATCTTGACAGAGGTCTTCACTGAGGACTAATTCCTTAGCTTGTTGAAAAAAAGTTAGTTTTGATTTAACAGGATTTATGAGCATCTGAAGATTGCTACCTGTGCATAAACAGAAAGCTACAGAAAATAATCACTACTGGCTATACTGGAGACCAAGTTAGCCTTTTGCTCAAGAAGATAAACTCATTAAGCTAGTATTATGTTTACCCGAGATAAATCAGTTATGCAGACAAATGTTTTTATAGACAACAGTTCAGCTGCTTCTCAAGAGCTTGTAGATTCAGTGCTGTTTACTCTAGTTCTGAATATATTTTTCCAAATCCCATGTACAAAGTGGCCTTGTGCCAGGGTGTTGAGTGGAACATCTAACCATTCCATTTGAAATCATCAAGTAGAGCCAGAAATAGATTTCATCCCACAAGATAATAATACAATGGGCATTGGAGTGTAAGGCACATTCCAGAAGCTGTTTGCAATGAAGAGCCTGTGTTCAAACTTAAATGGATTAAGTGACTTTACCTCAATTACTGAGCCAACAGCTGGTGAGTACAAATTGGTTACACTGATACAAGAACAGTCCTCTGCCTGAGCTTTACGCAAGAAGGGTGAAGGATTCTCATCATCCAAACCAGTTTATCAATAAGATTCTGCTTCCAAGAGTGGGCCTCCTCTCAAGCCTGAATAGTTACTGATAACTTGATTTTGGCTAGATGGCTTACACGTATTACAGAAAGCACATCAGGCATGTCATCACAGCTTCTAAACTAACAGAAAAGATCTGGGCCTCCAGAGTGGGTTACTGTTTCTCAGAAGAGGAATGGATACCTTGTATTGCCCAGATTGCTAGAAAGCAGCCCTGTTTGGCCAGCCTGCAGTTTCTCCAGCTGTCTCACTGTCTGGAGTACTGTGTCAAACTCCTCCCTAGACACATTAAGGTGGTTTGTTAAAAGCATGCATTTAGCAATCTCAATCAGGGCCTGTCTATACCAAGGATACCTACTGGCATAGTTGCACTGGTCCTAACCCGTGCTGATGAGCAGCACCAGTAAAAGCAGGGTTTGTAGTGGCATGCCTTGCTAGGGTAACCCACACCAGCAAAGGACATATACACTGGGGGGTTGCCTTGCTACATCAGCCTAACTACACCAAGACACATCATTATAACCAGGTGTCTATCACCCACACTCAGTCGACACTGCTTTGCCTAAAGAAAGCCTGCCTGAATTCTAATACCAAGAGCCCTGCTGGAAATACAACACACCATATTCATAACTGGTTTAAATGCCACTGAAAGCACATCAGGCACAAGTCTGGGCCAAGGTGTTCAGCATGTGCTGTCTGTGGTCCATTCAGTTTAAGATAATTTTCTCAGTTAAACCAACTGAATACTGTGTAAGAAGCATTTGCAGGGGGCCAACAGCCCCTTTTGTGGGACCCCTTCCCATCTAGAAGAGGTTAAAAGCAAAAAATGTTTAAACTTGCCACCAATTTGGATAGAATATATTTGTTTCTAGGGCCTGTAAATCTACAAGCAAAATGTATAATGTGGCCTCCTTTGGGAAAAGAGTTGAGCCTGAATTTCCCAGAAGGGTACTCTGACAGCTAATCCCAGAGTAGCTTTCCTCTTACCTCTGTAACATAGTCAGTGGCATTCACAAATTTCTCAAACTCTGCATTGCTGACCTCATACCGATCCATATAGAACTGGCTAACATGGACTCTTCTAGCAGGCCATTCCCCATCTTGCTGTATTTCAGGTTCATCAGTACCCATTGTGAACATTCCTGTTGGAATAAGGGCCATCTGCAATGGAAACAGATAGGACAGAAAATAACTGCAGTCATTTTTAAGTTAAACAGAGTTTGCCATTGTTTTTGCATCATAGTCTGGGAAATGAGGGTCAACACCGCCTTGAACAACACTTTCTTCATGACTAGAATATAGTTCAGTAATTAACGATTATAAAATCTGGAAGGTTCTAGGTTTAAAAGTAAAGTAAGTTGAGATGGTCTCCAAGATGAAAAGCGCAGTTCTCAATCTACCCCACTCCCACGGAGCTCCCAGGGATTTCAGACCACTGCTTAGATCCAGACCTATCTCCAGATGGGAGAGAAGGATGCCACTGTCACTGTGCCTCCTTTTTGCATGTGAAGTATTAAGAAGCAATCAGTGAAAATTGCATCTTGCTCACTGCAAAAGGAAGAATCTTGATTTTCCAATCTGGTGCAGAGAGAAAACTTGACATGTAGATGGACATTATGGAGATTATGAAGCTGCAAAGTGTTCTTTTGAGGACAAAGCACAGCCTACCTGTTCGCATACTAAGTGTATATGGGATTTTATTTATGAACTGATAAGTACAGCATTCCATCACTGACTAAGGTAGAGACAGCACCTGCATCTCAAAATTGCATCAAAAGGTATAGGGTAAACTTACAATGAATTAATATTCCACACTGTGCAAGGCTGGTCTGGAGCTGTAGCATCAGGCTCAGGAAGTAAAGACACAATGCCATGAGGGAATGCCACAACTCTATCTCAAGTTATAATGTCTCTTTATGGCTTCAGCCTGCTTTTAGGGAAGACACACCCAGACTTCCCCCAGATGTGTGTCACTGCAAAGAGTCCACTGCTAAACCCCCAGCAGGCTTCAGTCAGTCCCTAGCAACAAACTGACAAGAGATCAGATAGTCTCACCCAAGAGACCCTTCAAGCAGCATGCAGTCCTCAGCAAATGAAAAGCAGGCTGCTCCCACAGTTCTTCCACCAGCACCCCGCCACCTGACTCTGGCAGCTCTTGGCTCCGTTCCCCATGGGGATGAAACAAGAAAGAGGGAAGAAAAAAGGACTCTAAAAGCCACCAAACCCTTCCTTTTCCTGTTTAAATACCTGCGCCTTGTTGAGTTCTGGGCGGGGGCCCTTTTGCTCCAGCTGGCCAGCGACATGGGTTGCCAGGGTCGTAAGACCCCCTGAAGTGAGGTAACCCCCTGATTTGCTCTAGTGTGGGATCCATGCACCTTATCATACAAACCCTAGTTGCATCCAAGACATTGTTAAGTGATGGGACTGGAGAACACGGTAAATTGATTTAAATCACTGACTGTAATCACGATTTCAATCAACACAAAGGAACCTTGATTTAAAATCAGATTTTAATCTTATTTTGTATTTGTACTTTTGAAGTTATTTTCCTAAAGAAAGATTTTCTTAGTGACTGTAATAACTAAATATGAACTTTACACTAAATGTACTTTTTGCTAACCAGCAGAATAAACTTATCTATACACATTTATAGATGCAGTTATGTAGCTCAACATACGTTTATTCAGATTCTTAATTTTTTACTTTATTGCATTAGAAAATGGTGAATGATGCATTTATTTAGTCTGCTAGGCGACCATTTTTACTCATAATTTGTGTCAAGCTGCATTTGGATAGAAACTGAAATTATATTACAAATGCATAAAACCAGCATTTTTAATTAGGTTTTTTTATTAATTCAATAAAAAAACTTAAATATGCTGGATATAGAGGGGGGGAAATTATCAAAACATATTTTGATTTAAAACTCATGTATTATAACCAAAGACAGTATTAATGGTCGTTAGTGTATTGATGGATTGTTTCTGGTCACCATGGACCAGACTGTCCAAGATATTTAGACACCTAAAAGATGCAGATAGGTACTCAGTGGAATTTTCAAGAGTGCGTAGGTCAGTTAGGTGCCTAACTCCCACTGATGTCAACTCCCATTCACCTTTCAAAATCTGGCCCCATGTTCAAGTTTTTAGCATTGGTAGATCCCATCTTCTCCCCTTGGTTTATATTCACAGACTGGACAAGGAAAACAAGCTTTCCTGCTTTTTCAAGGTTTGCCTGTCAACTAGTCCACATGAAGAAAATATTCTCTCTGCACCTGCTAGGTTAAACTGAAACAGTAAAAGTTTTCTGCATAACAGAAACTGAAAGTACTGATATTTGGAATAATGTAAATACCAGCATTCACTGGAAATAATCATAGAAATGTAGGGCTGGCTCGAGGTGAAATTCAGCCCCCTGCACTGAGGCAGGACCAAGAAAACCTAGACCATCCCTGACAGATATCGGTCCAACCTGTTGCTAAAATCTCCAGTGATGGGGATTCTTATTGCAGATACTCAATGCAGTACAGGAATTATGACATAGTTATAAAACTTAAATTGCCTCAAGAATTAAAGATGTTTTTCCAAAATCCTGTGTGTACATTAAAAAGCATCCTTTAACTCATTAACATTTTAGCAGCTCTCTTTATTTTAATGATTAATAGATTACAGTAACACATCTTATCATAATGTCACATTTTAAACAGCTTATTTTTAAAAAGAAAAATGTATTTAATTTAAATTTAAGAAGTCCTCTTTAAGGTTGGTTTGTTTTTTTTACTAAATTTTGATCCACCCTGTTGGAGAAGGAGTGGATTCAAGCAGTAGCCAGTTAGATCTGGAGAGGTAGGTTTAAATCTGAAGGTGCCACTGGATGTTTTTCAATACACAACAGTGGTGGTGATGCCTCAGTAAGAAATCTGGGCTGGAATAGGGAGTTGCAGCTCAGATTTATAACCTAATGGCAAAACTAACTAGGACAGTTGGCATCAGCTGTTGATAACACGTCACTCAACAAAAAAAGTTACCTTACTTGTCAGCCTGTATGCAGGGTCTGGGGGAAGAAGATTGCCTCCTTCCTCCCCCAGTGATGTTCCTAAGCACATCAAGAGAGGCTCCCTTTGCTCCCTCACTGCTTCTAAGCACCATTCCCCTCCACAATTAACTCCCATGACACAAGTAGATGAGTGGATTTGCTGCGGGCTGACTTGCACAATACTCACCCTCCCACCCAGTCCGAACTACAAGCCTTGTTTTCATTACATCTGAAAGTGATCAAGAAAGACATGGGCCCCATCCTGTGACCACTCATGCGGAACTCACATTCGACTTAACAGGAGTTCAATGGGAAAAGCAACCGCAGAACCAGACCCAAAAAATATAAACTAGCAGAGCCAACACAACAGAATCTAGCAGGGGATGTATCTTCTTGAAACAAGCAGACAGCAGTTTTGATTCCCTCATGATTGATAACTCTTTGAAGTCTAGGAGGGCAAGGGATATAGATGCCCTTTCTCAGAGATAGTTCCTGAGATCTGTATACATAAGCCACACTTCTTGAGTAGCTGAGTTAGAACTACAGTAAAATGGAGAAAAGTCCATTGGATTTTAAATATGGGGAGTTATACAGTTAAGATACAAAGAACCTTTCTCCACAGTACCCATCAATATAAATTAGGCCCAATATGGACTTAAAATACTTAACTTTCTGTTTCACATTTTAAACTGTTCTTATTATTTATGAAAATGAATAGACTGACTGTAGTGAGGCCATTACCCCGCTCCAGCTCAGAAGTGGTTAAAAGCCAGCCCTTGGAGAGGGTTGGAGCTGAGAGAAAAGGCTAGGCTGATTTGCGGAAGCAGCCACATCTGGGGCCATGCCCCAACCAGGCCACAGATGGCCCTATAAAAGGGTTGTGAGCCAGGAGCTCAGGCAGTCTCTCTCTAGCTCTTGAGAGAGAAGGACCTGGCTGCCTGGGAGAAGGGTACTTGGGACAGAGAAGTGCTGGGGAAAGGGAGGAGGAGCAGGGGAGCTCCAACCTGGCAAATCCCCAGGCTGCGGGCCTCGTCAAAGGCCAAAACAGGTACTGGGGTTGCAAAGGGGCAGCCCGGGGTTAGGCAAAGGCAGCAGGTCCAAACCCCCCTCACCAATGATGAGTGGCCATGACAGACTGCAGTCTGCCCCAGTGAGTGGGGCCTAGAGGATAACTGGCAGTAGCCACTGAGGCACGGTGGGGATAGAGGGTTTGGGGTTCCCTTGGGAGGGGAGACCCAGAGTGTGGGGGCACTGTCAGGGGGCAGGACCGCAAGGTAAAGGGGAACTGGGGTCCAGAAGGGACACGGGGGCCAGCAGCAGGTGAGACACCGGCCTGCAGAGGGTGCTCTGGGCTGGAAAGAGCTAATTCCCAAGATGACCAGCAGCAGGCTGTGCACCGGTGAGTTATCGCTTCGCTCCACTGACACTTCACTGCAGAATAAATACCCAACAGCAGCTGTGGCCTTTGTTAGGATATCCATCCTGCAGTATGACCTACATTACAAGGGTAATTGTTATTGTAAAACAAACACATAAAGGAAGCCATCAAGTTGGCTTTCACCTGTAATGTCCATGGATACCCTTCTCAGACAGAAGCTTACCTGGACTCCCACGTTGATGCACCATGAAGCTGAGAACCTTGAGAATCGGTAGTCTTCCATTTCTGCAGAGTTCTAGTCTTGTACTGTTATCTCACAATGATGCTACCAGGTATAACCATTTGGATAAATTAAGTGGGCAACGGAGGAGTTTATGTTCCCTGTCCAATTCTTATTTCTTGATTTTTATTTTAGGTTTACTTTGTTCATTTAACAGCACTGTGTCCAACCAGCTTCACTGTTTCCCTTCTCTACAGTAGATTTCCACTTTTGTTTGGGTTCCTTCACAGCAACATTTACCATCTTTTACAAGACAGCCAGAAGTGGTTGTGAAACCACACAATAGGCAAAGGGAACTCAAGGCCGACAGAGCACCTGAAATTACTTTTCAGCCGGCTATTATATTTTTTAAACTGACTAAATTTGAAGTTGATCTTACAGAAAGGAGTCTAAATGCTTATGAATCATCTTCAGCTCAACAGCAGTCTGGGTTTTTACGCTTGTCTCACTGCAAGTGGGTTTCCTGATAAGAAGTTACTCCTAAGTTTCCTGGGGACTTTTAAAGAATGCATCAACGAGACACGATCAGAGCTATATAACTGCCTACTTTCTAATCTCTTGCTGACTCACTGAAGCTAAAATAAGTGCTCTGAGAAGGCTTGGGAGTCACAGATTTTTGAGCTTGCTAGTCAGTTATCAGTACACAAAAAAACTTTCCAGCTCAATGATCACGTCATCCCACAATCTAAAGAATTCTGATAGATGCCCTGTTATCAATGTGGCCTTTAAAAACCTTCCTTTTGAACCCAACATTCGCATATCATGCAGGCACTCACCCATCTATGCACCACAGGCTTCTACCATGACATCCAAGTCCAGGGCCCAACATAGGACTTTTGGAGTATACATTCTAATTACGACACCACCACCACCCATTTTATGGCTCAAGCAAGCTGCTGTTTTGGAATACAATCATCTTTTGATTGCAGGTGATAGTGTCAAAGTGACAAATGGCCTCTTTGCACCCATTTGAACCAAGAAGCACTGACTGACAGTGAGTGTGGAGGTGTTCAGCACTGAAGGGAAACAAGTTCCTAAAATTAGTTAATGGATTCAAGAACACTGTTCATCCAACAACAAATGAAAATCTTAGCTTCTAACTTAAAAATGAAGATTGAACTTAGTTTCACCAAGGTGAGGAAATGCCCAAGTTTAACTACGGAGGCAGAAGTCCAGCAGCAGATCAATCAGGGAGAGGATGATTCACAGCCCAGTAGGAATGACCACCTCTGAATGTCCCCTTAATTAAATTCCCCTATTTCAACCAGGTTATCATGAACAATATCACTCTCCCGAGGATAACACAGAGAGATAAAGAATAGATGTTGCTTGAATGCCAGCGAACACCGGGACCATACGCTGCCAGGCTTTGTCATGCAGTGATACCAGATTACTTGCTACTAGCATGGCATGGTAAAGTGTCCTACCATGGAGGATGGAATAAGGGTGCTCTCCCCAGAAACCTTCTGCAAAGGCTTTTAGAGTACCTCCAAGAGAGCTTCATGGAGATGTCCCTGGAGGATTTCTGCTCCATCCCCAGACACATTAACACACTTTTCCAGTCGCTGTACTGGCCACGAATGCATCCCAAAGTCCTCAGGGCAAATTAACAATTAAAAAAGCTTGCTTTTAAAATATGTATTATATTTTAGAAGGTACACTCACCAGAGGTCCCTTCTCCAGCTTCATTGGGTTGGGAGGGTATTTCAATCAGGGTGAGAAAAAGATCCTAGCTGTCAGGGAGAACAGCGTGCTGTGTGCTCTCCTCAAGCTCGTCCTCCTCCTCATCTTCCCCATCCACAAAATCCTCAGGCATGGTGGAGAGTACCTCATCATCGGAGTCCACGGACGGGGTGGGGTAGTGGTGGCAGCCCCCCCCTAGAATTGCATGCAGCTCAGCGTAGAAGCAGCATGTCTGTCCCAGAGTGTCCCTTTGATTCTTTGGTTTTCTGGTACACTTGTCTGAGCTCCTTAAGTTTCACGCAGCACTCTGTTGCGTCCCTGCTGTAGCCTCTGTCCCTCATGGCCCTGGAGATGTTTTGAAATGTTTTGGCATTTCGTCTTTTGGAACGTAGTTCTGATAGCACGGCTTCATCTCCCCATACAGCGATCTGGTCCATGCTGGAGCTCTTTTTCAATTCTGGGACTGCATGGTTACCTGTGCTGATGAGCTCGCCTGGCCAAACAGGAAATGAGATTCAAAAGTTCCTGGGGCTTTTCCTTTACACCTGGCCAGTGCATCCAAGTTCAGAGTGCTGTCCAGAGCAGTCATAATGGTGCACTGTGGGATAGCTTCCGGAGGCCAATACGTCGAATTGCATCCACACTAACCCTAATTCGAAACGGCGATGTCTATTTCAGCGCTAATCCCCTCGTTGGGGAGGAATAAGAAATCGGTTTTAAGAGCCCTTTATGTCGACAAAAATGGCTTCGTTGTGTGGACAGGTGCAAGGTTAATTAGATTTAATGCTGCTAAATTCGACAAACTTGTAGTGTAGACCAGGCCTAAATGTTCTCAGTAATGAAGTTCAAAAAATACAAAAACCATCTCACAATTAAAGTTTCTAAATGGATTTTTTTCTTCAAATTTTATGGAAGAAAGTAAGTCCGCAAGACAGAACTCTCCAGTCACTCCTGCTAAACCTGTCCCAGTTCTTCCTCAAAGCTGTTAGTTGATCTAGGTGCTGATTCTTCAACTACATCTTATGGGGTGACCTCTCTCTGCTTAGAGCTCTGTTGGCTTCACTAGGACCCCCATCAGGCACAAATGCAGTTGCAAGATGGGCTGCAATAATGGACACAAATGCACTCATGTATCAGGCTTCAGAGACTCTGAAACACTGCTGTTAGGCTCTTGGTCAGTTGTGCAGTACTGCTATGCAACTGCGAGGGAGGGACTGATCAACCCCTGCTGATCAGTTTATAACCTGGTGTATGAGGTTACATATACCTAAGTCTAAAAAACTAAGATGGTGACCCTGAGTGCTGGGTGTTAAACAAGATTGATATAATAGGTATAACAGAAACTTGGTGGAACGATAATAATCAAATCAATGGGACATGGTAATACCAGGATACACAACATATAAGAATGACAGTAGATCGTGCTGATGTGGGAGTGGCACTACATTGAAAGAAATATAAAGATAATAAAAATCTAAATGAATCACACTATACCATACAATCTCCATGGATAGAAATTCCATGCTTGACTAGTACGAGTATAGCTGTAGGAATATACTACCGACCACCCTGACCAGGATAGTGACTGTGATTGCGAAATGCTCAGGGAGGTGAGAAAGGCTACAAAAACAGAAAAAAAAGGCAATTATAATGGGAATTTTCAACTATCCCCATATCGGCTTGGTAGATATAACCTCAGAACAGGATGCAGAGAAAATTTCGAGACACCATGAACATTTTTTGGAGCAGCTAGTCCTGGAACCCACAAGAGGAGACGCAATTCTTGGTTCAGTCCTAAGTGAAGCACACGATCTGATCCAAGAGATGAATACAGGTGAACCTCTCAGTAATAGCAACCGAAGAACCTTACTGTAGTAGCATTTAACTTCAAATGGGGGAACAAAAATTAGGAAGCTAGTTAAACAGACATTAAAAGGAACAGTCACAAGAATGAAATGCCTTCAAGTTGCATGGAAGCTTTTAAAAAGACTGTAATAGAGGCTCAAACTAAACGTATTTCCCCCCCCCCCCCCCCCCCACACACACACACAAAAACATGGGAACCAAAAAAAAAAAAAAATGCCACCATGGCTAAACAAGAACATAAAGTAGGTGGTTAGAGGCAAAAAGTCAGCCTTTAAAAATTGGAAGTTAAATCCTGCTAAGGAAAATAGAAAGGCACAAACTCTGTCAAGTCAAGTGTAAAAATATAACTAGGCAGGCCAAAAAAAATAATCTGAAGAGCAACTACCAAAAAACAAAACTAAACTGCAAAAAAATCATTTTTAAGTATATCACACTCAGGAAGCCTGCAAAACAATCAGCGTGGACACAGAAGGTTAAGGTGCTTAAAGAGCACTCCAGGAAGACAAGGTTGTTGCAGAGAAACTAAATGAATTCTTTGCATCAGTCTTCACTGCAAAGGATGTGAAGGAGATTTCCACATCTGAGCCATTCTTTTTAGGTGACAAATCTGTCCCAGACTAAGATGGCAACAGAGGAGGTTTGGGAACAAATTGATAAACTAAACAGTACTAAGTCACCAGATAATATTCACCCAAGAGTTCTGAAGAAACTCAAATATGAAATTGCACAATTAACTGTAGCATGGAACCTTTCACTTAAATCAGCCTCTGTAACAGACGACTGGAGGACAGCTAATGTAACAGATTTTTAAAAGAGGCTCCAGAGGGGATCCTGGCAATTACAGGCCAGTAAGCCTAATTTCAGCGTCAGGTAAATTGGTTTAAACTGTAGTAGAAATGATCACACGCACAGATGAACACAATTTGTTGAAAGGAACATGGCTTTTGTAAAGGGAAATCATGCTTCACCAATCTATTAGAATTCTTGAGCAGCAGTGGGGGCATTAACAAACACGTGGACAAGGGTGATCTAGTCGACTTCCATAAAGCCTTTCACAAGGTCCCACACCAAAAGCTCTTCAGCAAAGAAAGCAGTCATAGGATAAGAGGGAAGGTCCTCTCATGGATCAGAAACTGGATCAGTTAAAAGATAGGACACAAAGGGTAGGAATATATGGTCAATTTTCACACTGCAAAGAGAGAAAAAGCAGGGACCCCCAAGAATCTGTACTGGGGCCAGTGCTGTTCAACATTTTCATAAGTGACTTGGAAAAGGGGGTAAACAGTGAGGTGGCAAAAAAGTCTGCAGATGATACAAAACTACTCAAGATAGTTAAGTCCAAAGCTGACTGTGAAGAGTTACAAAGGGATCTTACAAAACTGGGTGACAGGGCAAGAAAATGGCAGATGAAATTCAGTGTTGATAAATGCAAAGTAATGTACGTTGGAAAACAATCCCAAATATAGATACAAAATGATGGGGGTCTAAATTAGCCGTTACCACTCAAGAAAGAGATCTTGGAGTCATTGTGAATGGTTCTCTGAAAACATCTGCTCCATGTGCAGCAGCAGGTCAGAAAAGCTAACAGAATGTTAAGAACCACTAAGAAAGGATAAGACGACAGAAAATATCATAATGCCACTATATAAATCCATAGTAGGCCTGACCTTCAGTACTACTTACAGTTCTGGTCATCCCATCTCAGAAAAAATATTGGAAAAGGTACAGAGAAGGGCAACAAAAATAATTAGGGATAGGGAACAACTTTCATAGGAGTAGAGATTAAAAAACTGGGACTGTTTAGCTTAGAAGACAGACGACTAAGGGAAAGGTCTATAAAATCATGAATGGGGTGAGAAAGTGAATAAGAAAGTGTTATTTATCCCTTCGCATAACACGAGAACCAGGTGTCACGCAATTAAATTAATACGCAGCAGGTTTAACACAAACATAAGGAAATACTTTTTCCACACAACACAGTCAACTGTGGAACTCACTGCCAGAGAATGTTGTGAAGGCCAAAAATATACCTAGGTTCAAAAAAGGTAAGTTAACGGAGGATAGGCTATTAACCAAGATGGTCAGGAACACAACCCCATGCTTTGGGTGTCCCTAAACGTCTGACTGCCAGAAACCGGGACTGGACGACAGGGGATGGATCACTCGAATAACGGCCCTATTCTGATCATTCCCATTCAAGCATCTGGCACTGGCCACTGTCAGAAGACAGGATACTTGGCTAGATAGGCCATTGGTCTGACCCAGTATGGCCATTCTTATGACAGATACTTGACCTTTTTGACCTAGCTAACATAAATGTTAACAATCAGATCCTCAGCTAGCATAAATCAGCATAGTACTTCTAAAATCAACAGAGTCATGCTAGTTTCCAGCAACTGAGGATCTGGCTCTAAATGTTCATATGAACACAGTATATTTCCGAATTTTCCAAAGCTACCTCACAATTATTCCTAACAGGAAGTTCCGCAACTTGATTATAACCTACAAAGGAGTTCTCTTTCATATTTTTAGAATGTATTGCTTCTCTCCAGACTAAATAACTTGTTTAATAACTTCCTTCTTACATTGCTAGCCTCCAATACTAGTCAGCTTTCATTGCATTTTTCTGGAACAACTAGGTAGCATTTAGAACAAAGAAACTACAGCTGAGTCAAAAGCACGTAGTATACATACCGCCATTAACTTTTCTGTTCTCTTTTCTAAGATCTCAGCACAGAACAACATTCTAATCTAAATGCTTTCTAGACTGCTGCTACTCCCCGATATACATTTCCATTAAGCTAGTCACATTACCCAGACTGTTTACACTAAACTTCCCAGCTAAGTCAAAATCAATACTGCCTCAATCCATACATAAGCTCTTGTCATCATGCCACTTGATATCAATCAAGTGAAGAACATAGGGTGGTGCTACATGGCTCTGGTGTTGGTGACACCGTTTACAAACTGCAGAAGAACTTTCTATGCATATAAAATCTTCTCCACTATATTTTCCACTGTATGCACCTGATGAAGTGAGCTGTCACTCACAAAAGCTTATGCTCTAATAAATTTGTTAGTCGCTAAGGTGCCACAAGTACTCCTGTTCTTTTTAAGGATACAGACTAACATGGCTGCTTACTCTGAAATCTCTCATTATGCAAGTCTGGTTACCCATTCCCCAACGTTATTGACGGCCCATATTCTCGTCTAGGCTGTAAGGTTTGGACAGCCTATCATGTATTTTGGTCTACCGTGCCATATATTTTACATGCTGAAGGAGCACTCACATCTAAAAACTGCTGTTCTTGAGAAGTCAAATAAACTAATAATGGAAATTGCTTTGAGCACCCAGCCATTTACAAGGCACCCGCCATCCCAAACCACAATCCTGGGAGCCCAGGCCCCCCGCCACGGGCAGCTGTAGGCCTCGCCCACCTGACTGTGCGCAGCGGGCCCCTTGCGGGTGCCCGGCCCCACGGCCGGACTCGGGGCATTGGCCTCCGGGGAATACCTCCAGGCCGCCGCCGCGGCCGCCTCCCCGCCGCTCCCCCGGCCCGCGCTACAGCCACACGTCCCCTTGGAGGCCGCCGCCGCGCTGGAAGAGGAGGAGCTCACAGCCGCCCCGGGCCCCGAGCACAGCGCCAAGCCCAGCACCAGAGCCCAGCTCGGCGCAGCCCGCCCTGCCCTGGGCGCAGCCATGTTGGCTTGGGGCACCGCGTGACGTGCGCAGTCAGGTGACCTGCCCTGGCGTTAAAGAGACAGCGCTCGCTTCCGAGCGGGCTGCCTGGGGCTGTGCCCCGCTGGGGGCAGCGCTGCAGCTTCCAGCGTCGGCTACTTGCCCTGCGGCAATCAGGCCTCCGGGGTTCTAGTCCCCCCTCTGCCACCGCCTTGTCTTATGGTCTGAGGCGCCCCACCACGCCTAAGAGCCTCAACTTCCCCGTCTGTAAAATGGGACGAATGCTACCTCTCTGCCTCAGAGACGTGTCAAAGCTACATCAGCTAGCGCCTGCAAAGTGTTGTAAGACCCTCCAGCCAACGTGCTATAATATATTATTCAATGTCCTGAGCCTTGGTTGTATACTGAATTCACCCAGATTGATGATGATGATGATAATAATAATGAATAATGAAAGTCTAGACCCAGATGATAACCCCAATGAAATCAACAGCAAAACTCCCATGGACCGTGGTGGAACTAGGAATTGGTCTATGATGGCAGAGAGGTAAGCTCTT